GATATACATATGTGTCAAAAAGTGCACAGAGTTTTCACTTTTGTTATAGACTGCTCATCAAATACTCCAATACACTTTCTGCCTTCCTTCAAATTCCTCTTCACCTTCCTTTAAAAATTTTTTTTTCAATTTAATTTTCATGTCAAGGTAATGTACAGAGGGGTTACAGTTTCATAAGTAAGGTAGTGAGTACATTTCTTATCAAACTTGTTACCCCTTCCCTCATTTTTCTCCCACTTTCCCTCCCCATTTCCTGACCTTCTATGTGTGCACATACCTCCTTTAAAATTCTAAAATAGGGGGAAAACAAAAATAAAAACAAAAAATTTTAAAAAATTTAATTAGGGCTGGGTGTAGCTTAGTGGTTGCATATATAAGCATAAAGCATGTACACAACATACACATAAAAATATTTAAACTGACTTCTTGCATTTCTTTTCACATCCCTGACTTATATAAATTCTAGCTTTTTCTGAAACCCACTTCATTCCTTGGTACTCTATCCCATGCACAATATCTTTTCTGTTTACCTGATTAAATACAGAAGCAGCCAAACTCATCCTTTTCTTGTCTCTATAAATTCTGCCCCACTTTGGGCGTTCACTCTTTCCTCACCACTTTTCTCCTAATATTTAACAAATTTATAAGATTCTCTACTCCAACCTATAGACCTTAGTAAGTTTAATCTTCCCATAATTTGTACTGTCCTCCTTTAAATTCTTTATTCTACACGACAGCAGTTGATTGTCACTTATAGTCCTCAGAGGGCTTCTTGAGCATCTCTAACTAGAACTACTTTAGCAGCCATTTCTTTAATTCTCAACCATAACTGATTTCTACTGTGATTCATTCATTTAAACTGTACCTTCTCCAATCCTTTTCAAGTGCTGCTCCATGTGTGAAGTAGACTTGGGATAGGACTGAGGTTAAAAATAGACTCCCAAGCTGCAGGCACTGGTGGTTCATGCTTGTAATCCTAGCTACTCAGGAGGCTGAGATATGAGGATCATGGTTCGATGCCAGTCCAGGCAGGAAAGTCCATGAGACTCTTATCTCCAATTAACCACTAAAAAGCCAAAAGTGGAGCTCTGGCTCATGCTGAAGAGTGCTAGCCTTGAGCAAAAACTCAGGGATTGCACCCAGGCTCTGAATTCAAGCCCCGGGACTGAATAAAAAAAAAAAAAAAAAAGACTCCTGCATCTGGCCCCAAAGAGCTTCTAGTTCAGCACAGAAAGCATCAAATTTTCAATCTTAGCTTTATTGGAAAATTAAAAAAAAATCATTTCCCTGTCTGGTTCACGAAATTCCAAGTTACCAGGAGATTTTACTGTGCATCACTTGAAAACCTGTGACTTATGGTAAGATGTGGGAATCAGGACCTAACATTATCACCAAAAGAACTCTGGTCAGTCACTTTTGAGACCTGACTGGAACCTCTTTGGATAGAAATGGTCTTCCTTCACACTTAGAATGTATCATGTGAAAGCTTCCCTTCCCAGTATTCTCCTTCCAGGCCCGTGCCTTTCTTTAACCTCTAAGAGATAGTGTAAACTTGTCAACTTTTATTAGGGTCATCATAATCTGATCTACTGTTTATTTTCATGAGCTATCACTCTAAATTACTTTCACACTCTCATATAGATGATACAGTAACTTCTTTTTGTGTGTGTGTGTGTGTCATGGCGTTTGAACTCAGGGCCTGAGCATTGTCCTTGAGCTTTTTCACTCAAGGCTAGTGCTCTACCATTTTGAGCCACAGCACCACTTCTGGTTTTCTGGTAGTGAATTGGAGATGGACTTTCCTGTCCTGGGAGGTTTTGAACTTTGATCCTTAGATTTCAGCCTCCTCAGTAGCTAAGATTACAAACATGAACCACCAGCACCCAACTGATAGAACTTTGAAAAAGCCACTATTGCAGGATCACTTGAATCGAGTCATACTTAACCTAGAGATAAAGCTACTAACTGATACAAAAAGGAAGAATCACTGAAATGGCTCAAAGGAAAAGTTATGGATCACAATTAGGTTCCTAAAGAAACATCTGGGAGTTCTAGTTAATTCATGAGGAGGCTGAAAAACAATTGATAGGCCACATAGATCTCTCCTTGACCACTCTATTCCATCAACATGACAACCCCTCCAATACACCAAGGCCTTCCTCACCCTGGTAAACTCATCATCATAGTTCTCCTGCTTTCTTGCTCCCTGGAAGAACTAAGCATATACTTTTTTGACCTGGACTTTTCATTGCTATAGCTCAGAATTTTGAAAATCTCCCTGATAGCATACATACATACACACACGCACACATGCGCGCACACACACACACACACCCCTACAGACATGGTATCAATGTTCAAAGACCATGTAGGCACTTTGGAATCACAAGTTTTTCCATTCAACCTTATCCTGTTTTGTCTTTTCAAAGTTTAATTCAAGATTTAAAAAAGTTTTTCTGAATCCTTTTCTTTTTAACAAGTATTATAAATTCACAATTCTTTATTTACAATTCCAAATCATATAAATTCTTCAAACAGAAAATGTTTTGCAACTCATTCAGTGGAAGACTTGAAATATGGGGCTGATTTTTTTAGGTTACCATAAACACACATATATTGTTTTGCAATTTTAAACATGCTGGATTATGGGGAATGGTCTGACACATACATCATTGTAGGTATTATATAAGATATGTGTACAGTTTACTTTCACAAAATCTGAAAAATTTGAAATTTCAAAGCCCACAGGCTTCAGATAACAGATGTTAGACCTACATAATGCACCAATTTCTGAAAAATTTTAGTCTAAACCTTCCATTTTAGTTACACACTGAGATATATATAGATTTGGGGGGGGGAATGCTTGCTTCAAAAACTAAGCTACCAGCACAACTATGTTTATTGCAGCATTATTTACCATAGCTAAGATATGGAACCAACCCAGATGCCCCTCAGTAGATGAATGGATCAAGAAAATGTGGTATATATACACAATGGAATTCTATGCCTCCATCAGAAAGAATGACATTTCCCCATTTGTTAGGAAATGGAAAGGCTTGGAAAAAATTATATTAAGTGAAGTAAGCCAGGCCCAAAGAAACATAGGTCCCATGGTTTCCCTTATTTGCAATATCTAGTATAGGTATGAGTCAAGCGGAAAAGGTCAGATAATGTGATGTTAGGAAAACGAACCCTTAAATATGTATTTTAATGTTTTTGTTTCTTTCATGCATGTGTTTCTAACGCATTTGTAAGATTATTTCTTTGTTGCTTTGTATGTCCCTCCCCCACAGTGTAACCCCCACTTTCACTATATTTGATGTCAGTATAACATGCGGAGGAGATGGGGACAAACAAGTCGTTTAAGGATTCAGGTGGACCTGTTGCAACAATGAGAAGTACAAAATGTCATGTCAAAACCAGCTTTACAATGTCGGTGTAGGGGGGGAGGGGGTATGATTGGGTGGGGGGGAGGGGGGAGGCTGGGAAGGGAGGTGAAGGGTAAACAAAGGAGGAGGCTGCAATGCTTGGTAAGAAATGTATGCATTATCCTGCCCATGTAATTGTAACCCCTCTGTACAGTATGTTCTCAAATAAAATAAAATAATATTTAAAAAAAAAAAAACTAAGCCCATAGCACGTATATTTACTTTTTTTTGAAACAGCCACCTTAAAAATATGAAGTAAGGCCTTTCTATATAATAAACTCTAAAAACCTAGGGTAACAACAGAAGGAACCATATCTACAAACAGTTGGGTAACAAATTCCTTCAAAGCATCTCCCAAAGTAATCCCTCTTCAGTTGCAATTTACCAATCAATTGTAGCTAAATTTGTTAGTGTGTGCCATCGGGGTCCATTGGTTTTTAAAAAACAATTTCAAGTTGTCACAGACCTTACACATTTTTGAGAAACATTACTCAAATCAAAATGTTATTCTAATACTAATTCTTTAAAGAGGAGTAAGCTATTTTTGTTATTTCTTAGTCATTTCGGAGGGAGGTTTTAAGGAACTAATTGCAAGTAGGAATTTTAAGATGTATAATAGTCCCTAAACTTTTACTATTTCGTCGTGCACGGCAAGTCATGATCTTTAAATACATCGAAGCAAACTTCCAGAAAAGTATTTAAATATTATGTTCAACAAAAAACCTCAAAATCAGGGCTTAATTTCTTTTTCCTTATTATATTCCAAAGTAACCAGAATCATAACCACCAGTACAAACAGTGGAAAGGGAAGGAGGGAAGGGGGGAGGGGAGAGAAGGAGGGAGGGAGGGGTGTCCCATGACATCATCTGGCAATCTGTAGTTTGAGGGCTGACAGCACTTTCTAAATAACCTAACCAAAAGGCAGTTGGGAAATCATCTCTATCCAGCTTAGATAACTTAAAAAGAGTTTCAATAAAAGGTTCGAAAAAGCTTCTCACTCCCGTAAGTCACATGCTCTGTAGGAAAAATGACTGAGAAAAAGACGACCAAGAGCATCACGGATGCACTTACCTCCCACCACGCTGACGGCCCCGGAGAGGTCACCATCCGGTGGGCACTCCAGACAGAGCCAATTCCAGGGGAAGGGGGAAGGGAACGCAGGGCACAGCCACGCGCGATCTCGGCGCCCAGGGCGGGCGGGCGGGCGGGCGGGAGGGCAACCTCGGTGGGAAACCCACTCCCGCCCGGCCGCCCCGGTGCTACCTGTGCTCACCCGACAGGACGCCGGTCCCGAGTGGCGGGCGGCTGCCTCCGCGAGGTTCGGGGTGGGGTGCAGGGAGGGGGGTCGGGGCTCAACCCCACCGAACCGTCAGCGGACCCCCCCACCCCCGCCAAGTATCCAGGGCCGTCCACGAGGCTCAACTCCGTGCATTCCGTCCCCGGAAAGGGCGGCCCGGGTGCATTCCCCGAGGGAGCCCTGGAGGAGGCGCGGGTACCCGGATGCCCACCCTCACTTCCCGACGTTCGCCGTCGGGGCGCCCCGTGGGCCCCCCGCCCCCGCCCCGCACCTACCGCGGCCGCCCCGGCCGGCACGATGGGCGGCAGCCGCTCGCGCTCCGGGTCCTTCCCTTTCTTCTCCTCTGAGGCGGCCGCCGCCACCGCCGGCGGCGCGGCGGGCAGGGGTTCCCGACCCGCCTCACTCATGTCGGGCCGGGCGGCAGGAGCGCGAGGCGGCGGCGGCGGCGGCCGGACGGCTGCTGAGGTTGGCGCTGCTGCTGTCGCGGCCGCGAGAGGGCTCTGGGCGGCCGCTTCCAACCGCCGCCGCCGCCGCCGCAGCCACACCGCCCCCGCCCGCGCTCCGCGCGCGCCCTGGTCGCGCGCCCCGCCCGCCGCCCCACTACCACCACCACTCTGCGCGCGCGCCCGAGGCCGCCGCTCCGCGCGCGACCCGCACACGCGCGCCTCGCCTACCGCCGCCACTCTGCGCGCGCGCCCGATGCCTCTGACCCCCCCCCCCTCCCGCGCGCGCCCGGCCCGCGGACTTGGCCTCGCGCCGCTCCCGCCGCCGTCTAGCCCAGGCCTCCCCGGGCCCGGTCTCGCCCACTGTCGGTCAGAGCCGCGGGTCGCCGCCACCTCGTCTATCCCCAGGGCTCGCCGAAGGTGCACGCCGCACGCCCTGCCGCCATGTTGCCGCCGGAGCTGCTGAGGAGGGGACCCCGCCCCGGGGCCGCGCACCGGGCGACCCGGCGAGGCCTGCGGAGGTCGGGCGGGGATACGGAGCGCCCCAGCGGCACCTGTGGAGCGACGCGAGGCACGGTCCACCGTTCTCGGATGTCCCCGGCCTCAGGTGCTCAGGGGACTGGGCTGGTGGCCCGCGGCTGTTTTCCTCCCCACTGCCCTCGAAGCCCTGTTCCTAGGGGCTGCTGCCTGCCCTTCTTTCCCGGCCCACCCTCCTCCCCGTTCCTCGGTGCTCCAGCAGCCTCAGTGTACAAAGAAGACGGGGCGTGGGGGGGGGGGGATTTGCGTCCCCCACCACACAGACAGACCGACCGACACACACGCGCGCGCGCGCGCTCGCACGCACTGCCGGGACAGCCAGGCCACACTTTCCATTTCTGTTCCTCTCATCCCTCTTGTGACTGCCAAATCCGCCTCTCCCTTCCCGTCCCCTGGCGCCTACATTTCTCTCTTCCCCCATCCTTGGGCTGCCTCCGATCCTTGTTCCTTTCCGTTTATAAATCACAGATGGACATACCCAAACTCTGCCGCATAATCCTTAATAGCAGATCATTATAAGGACATTTGAAATCATGATATTAAAATATCCCCCACCTCCACCGCCAAAATACGTAGACAATTTCCTTTCCTTTCTTATCGCCCCCTCTTCCTTTTTGCAGTCTACTGGAGTGGCAGAGACACCTGCTGATCCAAGGGGAACGCGAGCGTAAGAATGAGCTGTACTGCTTACTTAAAATAGAAAATTTCTCGACATTCAGGTCTTTGGATTTTTTAGGTGAGATGTTACTGCTTTATTCACCCTTCTGTGACTTTTTTTGATTAAAAAAAAATACTCGGGTCCAACTACAAGAACCAACAATACCTCTGCGATATACCCAGCGATGATTTTTTTTTGTTTTGGTTTTATGTAATTCAGTTATTAGCACAACAGTTCTTCATGAAATGGGACTTCATGTTTTGCAAACCCAGAATTTGTAACAAGCAGATCTGAAGCAAACAATACAATGAATGTGATAGCTCGTGTGCCATATTACCTTCAAAATGGTAATTCTGACGCTCATTTATGAGGAAAGGCTTTATAGTTTTGATATAGTTGATGTCTCTACCTGTTCACTTGTTAATTAATAAATGGTATGGGAAGTGTCATACACAAAGGAAGGAAACGATGCACACAGACATTCATTTGGAATATTCTCGTTTTTCCTGCTTCCCCACCACCAACAGCAACTTTCCTTCTTAAACCTCTGGAAAAATATTCCATGGAGAGCAGCATGCAATTATTTTTGCCTTTTAGCAGATCAACATGCTAATCATGGTTAAAACAACAACACAGATATTATACAGCGAAGCCTTTATTTATTAATGGAAAATCTAAATTATGGATATCTTCTATTTTAATCACATGAAGTATTACTAATGTAGGACAACAACAACGTTAGTTCTGAAATACATTAAACAACAACACAGATATTATACAGCGAAGCCTTTATTTATTAATGGAAAATCTAAATTATGGATATCTTCTATTTTAATCACATGAAGTATTACTAATGTAGGACAACAACAACGTTAGTTCTGAAATACATTTCAACATATATTGTGCTGCTAAGTCTAGGTTGACAAAGCAAATACTAAGGGAAAGGTAATCTCTTTCCTATTATTTTCAAATAGATTTGATTTGCTAAATATAAAATAAGGCTTGGATGAGAATCCACTTGGGTTACAGGCCTTATGGTTTAACTTTTCCTGTGTGAGACTAAATAAAAGAATGTCTGTACATGTAGTCACATTCAACAGAACAAAATGCTTAAATATTGGCAAAACAAAGCAAGTAGGAAATGTTGCTTTGTGCTACTGCACCAGAGTAGATAATACATTTTGAAACAAGTCCACCTATTAGTTCATCTGTCAGTTTTATATCAAAGATAAGGGATTTCTTTTTTACTTATTAGGAATATTGTTATTCCTTTACACCCTTCTTGTCTAAGAATTCTAAGGTGAGGAGTGGAGGGTAGGCATGGGGACAATAGGAAAGCTATAATGTGATTGCTTTGGGGAAACTCCTGGGCTTGAAAGACATTCTCCACTGCTACCTGTCAGCTTTTGAGGACCCAGAGAGGGAAGAGATGGTGGTGGAACAGGGCATCCAGAAAGCTCTGGCTGTTCTGCGCAAAGGTGTGGAGATGCTTGTCTGCTATGTCAAGGGTAGCCTTGAAAAAATGTGGGAATTAAACAGGTGAAGTTCTCCACCTTCTGAAGTCCAGATGGGAAACTTGAGCTCAATAATTAATCAGGTTTTCCATCAGGAGTTAGGAAGGTGAAATACTTATGGGGAATAGGGGTCTGGGAGGTGGAGCAGGGCTTAAAGAGCTCTTTATCTCCATAGAAGAAAATGAAGGACTGAATTGCAAGTTCATGCAAAGTCTAAATTATAGACATCTTCTATTTTAATTACATAAAGTAATACTAATATAGTGAACAACAACAAAGTAGGTTTTCACAGGTCAATTAAGAATGGTTATAATTATTATTATGAAAAAGTTTAACTTATTTTTAAGAAAACATCTTTGTCCCCAGTTGAGTGTTGTTGTCCTAGAGTAGTAAATTTAGGAAAGTACTTTAACCATGTTAACATTGATGAATTCTTCCTTATATATGATTGTGACTTTTTCAAATGCCTCTTTGAAAGATAACTTTTCTTTATTAAAAGGCAATATATTGTTTCAAAAATTAGAAAATATGAATTAGCAAAATGAAGCAAATAAATACTAAGTCCTGCTTAACTGTAGATGTTTACTAAAATTTGGTCTGTACTTTTACAAAATTTCCTATAACTATCTATTTACACATACATATATAAACACACTATTTCTTACTATGTTTTAATAAAAACAGAACCCACTGAAACAATGCTGAAACTGTGGAACTAATTCTTAGAGTACATTCAGTGATATGATAAATCTTTTGTCCTTAGAGGGTTAATTTTAAACAAATTATCCAACTTTATATAGCGCCAAGATTAAAGAAAAATAATCATCAAGTTTTATATTTTTACTAGTTTCTTATCATATATTAACTGTACAAAATAATGAGCTTTAGTATAACCTTTTCAGACATAGATATAATGTACTTTGATCACATCTCTTGAACTTCATTGTCACTGACTTCATCAGAGCTTGCAAAATCTCTAACCCAGGCTTTATCCTTAGCCTGCTAACAAGTCTTGCCTTCAGTTTCTTACTTGCTCTAATTGCAATCAGAATGACCTCCTCAAAGTATATAATTATTTGCCAGTCTTTTGTACTGGCAAAACTTTTGTATTTCAATAGTGTTGTAAATCCTTTATAATAAAAATCTGAACCCCCTAGTATGGCATTCATCTGAACTCTTTGCAAAGAAGGCATTTTCATAATGTCCTAATTAGAATCACTTTTTCTTTCTTCTCCCAGAACAAATTGTGGTAATCATTATACTTACATTCTATACACCCATCACCTTGCATCTTAGTCATTTGTGCACCTCATAAAGTCATGGCATAGAGAGAAAGCATCAAACTGAATTAATTACTCTTTGAATCCTTCCTAATAAATAGCACAGGAGTGTGCTATTGAGGGAACTTGAACTATGCTGGTGAGCACTCAATAAGCTCAAAAGAAATGAAACAAGATGTTACCTGAAGGTAATGTGAAGGAGCCTTAAAAACATTTCCAAAGAGGAATTAGAAAAATATTCTGATTGACTACACTCACTCCCATGCTTAGGTCATAGCATTGGGGAAAAGTCTTGATTCTTAAGTCTTGATCTTATACAATAGTGCTTTTAACAGAACTTTCTGTAAAGGTGGAAATGTTCCATATTTATACTACTACTAATCACATGTAGCTTCTGAGCACTTGGACTCTGACCTATTGTGAGAACAAAATTAAATTTTGTTGATTTTATTTAATTTATAAATAACTAGGAAGACCATATTAGAAATTCTCCAATATTCTTACTTGGATTTGTTGATAGCTACTAAATACTAACTACAAGTTTATACTTGTTTCTTATGAGAGATAAAACAACAATGAACTAATAAGTATTTCATTAAAATCATCCTATGAAATGGAAAGAGTTGGAAAAATTACATTAAATGAAGTAAGCCAGAGCCAGAGCAACATAGGTAGCATGGTTTCCCTCATTTGTGGTCACTAGAATGTGCCTATAAATACAAGTAAACACATTGGATAATAAAATATATATACTGAGACATGATAAATTATACAGATCTCTAAGCATTTACACATGGTGAGACCAAAGGAGGATATTCTTAAGAGAGGAACACAAAAGCACAATACCTATGTTCATCTGATCACATAAAATAATATTTATCTAGGGCTGGGAGTGGCTTAGTGGTAGAGGGCTTGCCTAGCATGTGTGAAGCCCTGGGTTCCATTCCTCAGTACTACATGAACAGAAAAAGCTGA